TTCTATTTGTGGTTTTCTATTTTTGGCACATGGCCCAGAATCGGCCTGATTTGAGGCCACAGGTAGCTGTGTGAAGAATGTAGTCCGGGGTTAGAGATATTGCATGTCAGAAAAGATAAAACTCAACTCAATGCCTCAATACTGCTGGTAGATGTACTCATTAAAGGCTATTTTACATATATATTAGGTGCACTGCTTCCTATGCAAAATATAAATTCCAAATACCTATTTGGAAGAGATGCATATGCATCAAAAGCCTGTAAAACCTTTTAGGTGAAGGCAAACTCTGGAGTCCAATACGAAAATGGCCCTTCAACTTCTTAGACATAAGCACTAGTTTAGCAATTTCTCTTTCTCTTTCTGTCTCTCTCTCTTTCTGTCTCTGTGTGTCTCCCTCTCACACACAAATACACACACACACACACATTATATTATCATCATACAGCTATTCAACCTTCATTTTCTGCTAGTGAAATACACTGAATTAGATGAATACTTGGATGAGCAAAGTCTGGAGCTACTTACAGAACTTGGCCATTGGACTGTCGAAAAACAATGAGGCCAAAGGGATCAGCAGAGAACTGCACAGAATAGAGAGTTGAGGATTCCTTATTGGTGGCCTTGGGGGTTTCTAAAGGAACTTCATAACGTTTTCTAGCTGGATTCTTAAGCTGTGGTGGAAGAGACAGAACAACAAACATTGTGTGATGCTACTCCAAAAATTGGTCAGAAAAATTCAGTCAAGCTTCAAAGGGACTTGGCTTCTACTTCAGAATCATTTGTGAGGTGGAAGAAAGGAGGTCGGTGTGAAGTTTGAAGTTACAATGAAATCCAGCTTTTTGGTTCAAGGGGGCTTTTTATTGTCTGATTAATTGATTTCCCACCTTTCAATTGATCTAATATGACATTTGATATTCCTGCACCCCTTTATTTCTAAAACAGACATCTATAAGCAGAACCAATTTTAAACAGTATAAAATAAATTCAAGGCTGCACTCTTATATGATTTTGTTTGGAAATAAGCATTAATCACTTCTAAGCTTGTAGCATTTCATTTCGTTTATAATTTGTTTTTAGATTTCTGAAAATATATACATAATAATTTAGATATGTATATCATACATACCTACAATATCTACATGTATTTGAAGTATTATCATACGCAGGATGTATTTTGGTCACAGAGAAAAGGGATTGCTTATGTAGCCCCTACTCCAGCTACTAGAAATGTATCTAAGAGTCACAAATAACAAAGCCACGCTACGCATTATCGTGATTTATTGAATAAACCACAATTAGCTGGATTTACACATATTGTCATTGGCTCAATATCAGCAAAGCAATACCGAAAACTTCAGTTCTTTGCTGCCATCTAGTGATAGCCTAGGCTAGGTAGAGCAATCCTAACTAGACCATAATTATTCTTCATGCAGTATAGTGATTAAGTTTATACAAACTAGTAAAAGCCAAATAAACCACACTTAACCTGATGCTTGTACCCAGCCACGTATTCACTTCTTTAGCTTCTGAAATTATTTTTTAAATGCTAATATTCTTAAGAAAGTGAATTCTGGTTCTGGCAATCACATTCTAATCTTTCACAATTCCACAGAATTGCCATAGTCACATAGCCTGGCAATAACCCTCTCTATTTAACTGAAAAGAGATTTATCCTAGGATTAGAGCAGGAACAAACAAAATTTGAGGATCAAGGGCTATAATCCTGATGTTACTAAGAGATGGGTTAGGGACAAAGAACTTGTAAAAAAAAATCTAGAACCTTGCTTTTATATACTATATGCAGATAGCAGCAAGAATGCTTTATGCACAAAAATTAGGGAGCTGGGGAGTTACAAAGATATTCCATGTTTGGTTAATGTCAGAGTGCCTTGGACTTCCTTTTTTAAAACAAAACAAAACAAAACAATAGTCCCTACTCACCGTGAAGTGAAGCCTCCCCTTGGTCTCAAAGACCACATCCAGCTGCACATTCAGGATGTCATCTGGCATGAAAGAAGGTGCACTGCGGATCAAGTGGGCAGTGTAGCCAGTCTTGGTGGCAGTTAGGTTTGTCATCTTGTAACTAGAGTAATTGGTAGGAAAGAAGCACCATGGCTGCCAACCAGCAGAGCCTTTGGAAGAGACAGGGACGTAACAACATCCCCGAGCTTGACATTCATCTTGAGAGAGAAGCTTCTCTGGGGCACAGTCAAAGCGGCTGTCTGGAGGGATGTTGCATTGCTTAGACATCGACAGGGGTTCCAACTGTTGTTTTAGTTTCTGTTGTGGTACCTCTGAAATCCTGCCATGATTCTTACCCCAGTGATCATTCTCTCTTTTAGAAGCAGCTATGGCTGCCTCTGAGGTCCTAGATAGTCCAAGCAGAGTGATCACAAATGCTAGAGTTGAAATCACCAGCATTGTGTGCTTCTTCCACCACAACCTCTGTCAGGCATTGAATCACCATGGAGAAAGGCAGGAGTTTGCTCCTCAGCAAGTATAGGACAGTCACTCTCCAGCTGCAGAGGAGATACAATCAGACACAAACTATGAATTCCTGGCTTGTGCTGCGTTCTCCAGGCTGACTATTCTTAAGAACCTATCCCTTGTATTCAAGTGGGGAAGTCCCTGATGAATGTCTGTCAGGCCTAGATAATCTAAAAGTTATTCCTTTGTATTTAATATTGATTCCAATCAAAACAATGATACCCCACTGTTGTGACTCAAAAAGCAACAGGTCTATTGAGCATTTTTCCTTCTATGTATATCAATCCTGTAGAGCTGCATGTGCTGATTTCCTGCAGGAACAAATTTCCTGTGTCAGGAAATCTTACAACAGTCTTGAAAACACTTTGAGCAGAGAAACCAAGAAGACAGGCATTTCCCTATAGGCAAGACAGACTCCATGTTGCTTATAGAGATATTATCATGTTATGACTCTGGATACAATCTATTATTTCAATTGTGATTATTATACAATATTAATTGGAGATGATTAACATTTTATTATTTAGAAACCAGTGATGAGAATACAAAAAATGTTCTATCAATATTAATTACAACTGAGGATGCTATTTTTCCAAGCATAAATTTCTGCCTTTTTGGTTTCTCAGTGTTGATTTGAGGTACCAGGTTAGAAAGTGAAAGACCAACTTCAAGTCCTGCCCTAGGGATGAAAGCCAGCTGGGTGATCTTGGGCCAGTCACTCTCCCACAACCCAATCCACCTCACAGGGTTGTTGTGGTGGGGAATAAAGGAGGAGGAAGGTATGTTGGATATATTCATTGCCATAAGCTATTTATAAAACGAATAAAGGCAGGATATTAAATCAATAAATAATAAACAAACAAACATTGTGAAAATGTGGTCACTGTAAGAGGAGAGCAATATTATTCTGCAGTAACTAACAATCAGGAACCTGGTAGCATTTTTTCAAACTGATAAATGTTATTAAAACATATAATTAAGCCTTTGTGAGCTACAG